ACACTAAATATATACGGATTCATATATACGGATTCCAAATTCCAGAAATGGGGGGAAAATATGTAAGTTGAGCTGTCTGTCTGTGTCTTCTGTACCACTGAAAGTGCTTCCCGCTAACATAAACCGAAATATGTTTGCGGGAATCACCCAATTCTCTCGTACTTCCTGAGATACGCAATTGGGATTCGGAGTCTACGACTTGAGAGAAACCTTCCACAAATGACCACCATACCGGCACCTACATTACAGTACGAATAATGCGTTGAATGAAATTCCAATGCCGAATTCATTTCGGTGAGCGGTTGTTGAACGAGGAGAAGTTTTGTTCTCTACAGAAATAGATGAGAGGGCATACGGTACCGTTGGGACATGCTACTTCCATTAGAACCTAGAGTACTTTATCACGTACCGTAGAAATTACTGTACATACCTTAGTCATACCCATACAAGTTTGTTATTGGTTGACGTTTGGTGTGGTCCGATAAAAATCTGAACTTCGGAATTCGTACGTACTCGTAGTTCGATGAAATATTCGGGGACGAGCTTGTCATACCTCTACGTACCCTGGTGCTCTATGAACCATTCGGGGGTGAGTGTGTCACAATCACGTCAAGTTTTAATCGAATCGGGGGTATTGGACGAAAAGAAGTTGAATGTGTCATTCTTGTCGTAACCCTTTTTGAGGTATGAACATTTTGCGTCTTTTGATTCGTCAAAAATTGTTCAAGTACTGGAAGTAAATTATATTGTCTGCCGGAAGAGCATCTCAGAACAAAAAAGATCCGGAGGTTACGTGAATGAGCTGTCTTGCATTCTTCTATGAATATCATAGAACCTAGTCACACATTCCCAGATCCGAAATAGAAGTTTGGTCACCAAATTAAATGGGGCTTATAAATTAATTGGTGGAAATCGATGGCGAATCGCGTCTTTATTTATTTGTGGTTGAGTGATTTTTTCCTTCTTCTTCAATTGGAGGAAGAAACAAAGTGGTCATGCCACTCCGAAATCAAGAGGATTGCAGAGGATGAGAGAAGTAAAGTCTGAAGTACTCTGAAAGGATGTAGAAGTAAGAACATATTTGATGTTATCGATGTGAACGTACGTGGGAAAACCCGAAATAGAATTGAACATGAGAAACAACACGACAAATGATGGTGATCATCGAGTTGCGACGAAAAAAAGCAATTTTATTTCATCGGATGCTTGTTCTCACAAACTGATCGCAGAGCAATCTGAAAAGCACCAAGCAAACAGACAAACACTTGCAACACTCATCTTCAAATCAATTCACAATGTCTGATACCGAAGTCAAAACCGGAGAGCCCGTAAGTCTTGACCATGGTGATGAAAGCGTTATCATGTTGTCGATTTTTTTGTCGTGTCGAATATTATCTCGTCGTGGTCTTCCGTCGAATATTTTCTCACCGTGATACATTCTTCGAATGATTTGCCGGGTATGCAGACTGAGTGGAAGGCCTACTCTGAGTACGCCATCGAGGTTGATCCTGACCAAGATGACAAGGCCAAGACCATCAAGCTTTGTTCTTTGGCCCGCCCTCACATGAGAGCCTTCCACTTCTCCTGGTGGGGATTTTTCGTCGCCTTTTTCATCTGGTTCGCCATTGCCCCCCTTCTTTCCGAGATCAAAGTCGATCTCGGATTGACCAAGCAAGAAATTTGGACTTCCTCTATTGTCGGTGTCGGAGGAACCATCTTGATGCGATTCATTCTTGGACCCGCCTGTGACAAATGGGGTGCCCGTATTCCCATGGCTGTCGTCCTTTGTGCCGCTTCTATCCCAACTGCCTGCACCGGTCTCGTCAAGGATGCCACCGGACTTGCCATTCTTCGCCTTTTCATTGGTTCCGCCGGAGGTACCTTCGTCATGTGCCAATACTGGTCCACCAGTATGTTCTGCAAGGAAGTCGTTGGAACTTCTAATGCCCTTTGTGGAGGATGGGGTAACCTTGGAGGAGGTGTCACTCAGCTTATCATGGGATCTGCTCTTTTCCCCCTTTTCAAATCCTTTTACGGTGGAGATGCCTCCAAGGCGTGGCGCGTGGTCAGTGTCGTCCCTGCTGTYGTAGCCTTCGGAACCGGTATCATGATCTACAAAATGTCCGATGACTGCCCCAAGGGTAACTATTCCGACTTGAAGAAGCACGGACAGATGGCCGAAGTTTCTGCCGGAGCATCCTTCCGCCAGGGAGCTTTCAACATCAACACCTGGTTTTTGTTCATTCAATACGCATGCTGCTTCGGTGTTGAATTGACCATGAACAACGCTGCTGCTCTCTACTTCAAGGACAAGTTCGAACTCTCCACCGAATCTGCCGCTGCCATTGCTTCCATCTTCGGATTCATGAACTTGTTTGCCCGTGGTCTTGGAGGATACTTCTCCGACAAGGGTAACCAGTACATGGGAATGCGTGGACGTCTTTGGGCTCAGACCATTTGCTTGATCGGTGAAGGTGTCCTCGTTTTGGTCTTCGCCCAAACCAACTCGCTTGGAGCTGCTATCACTGTGATGGTTTTCTTCTCCCTCTTCGTCCAGGCCGCCGAAGGAACCTCGTACGGAATTGTCCCTTACGTCGACCCCCCTGCCACCGGATCCATCTCTGGAATCGTTGGAGCCGGAGGAAACACCGGAGCCGTCTGCTTCGGACTCGGATTCCGTAACTTGGAGTACAAGACTGCCTTCATGCTCATGGGTTTCACCATTTTGGGATCCTCGGCTTTGTCTTTGGTCATCTTCATCAAGGGACATGCTGGTCTTGTCTGCGGAGAAGATGCTCCCAAGGAAGCCACTACCGCGACCCTTGCCGTCCCTGCCAAGGACGCCGAGGCCAGCGAAGACGTCAACGAAGAGTAAATCTCTCTTGGCGACTGAGCAAGTAAAAAACCACTTGGTGGAACGACTGGACAGGCTTTATTGCATGCATCGCGTCTCGACCATTTGAACGAAAGCTACGCTGATACATCATGTGTCTGTCGATTGCTGCTGTCCACCCCGGTACTTCTATGTCTATCCATTTCTACAGTAACAATTTTTGAACACGATTGGTTGTTTGGTGTTCTTTTTGAGAAACGCTTCAACTTCTAAATCATTAACAATTTAAGCAATACATTTTGAACTAAACACATCAAGTCTTGATAGGAATAACTTTAGTAACGTCTCATATCTTTTTGATGTGGCACAGACCAAAAATCCTCAAGGCGGACGAAGACTTTGTGCCGTCTGGCGTTGTTGTCGACAACATCATCTCGAGGAGATAATAGTATGGTTGATTGTTTCGACGTTCCACCTTGTCTCAGTTCCTCGATTGTATGGTGTTCCTTACTTCGTAAGATTCACTTCAGAGAGTTCGACTTTTTTCTTGGGACGGCGATAGCGAATCAGGAAACACATCGGGCAAGTTTAATGGACCAGATACAGATACTGTTGAGCACCATCGTGACAGACCAACGCCATAACGCATGGAATGGAATGGCCGAAACCTGATTGTTCCAATGCAAGGTTTGTCTACGACTTTCACCCACCAAAGCTTATACCATACAGCACGGAACTTCACACAACGACAAGAGGATTCTTATTGATTCGGAATAACAATATGGTGAGAGAAGAAAAGAAATCATTTCACTTGGTTCCGTAATAAATATGCGTATCATTCATGTCGTTCGACAAAACGGGTACGAGTACGGGACTAGTTTCGTTCGTACCACCTCTTCGTCAACCAACGTAACTATTGGAATGCAAAGATACTCGTGCTGGGGTGCCATCTATCCCCTCCATGGACTGGTATGTAGAGCTATTAAAGGCAAGCCCCGTAGTGGCAAGTTATTGGCAATTCCCCGTGTGTCAATTTTTTCTCATTTTCCCGTCTTTGAGGGCCCAGATTGACTAAATTGACACCAGGGAGGTTTCGTTTGACAATAATTTGATTTTTTCATTCTCCCATTTTCATTTCCCCTCCCCCCCCCTCCACACACAAAAACTAGTCCCTAAATATTTCTATCTTGCAGCACCAACAGAACCCCCTTACCCAGCAGTTTGCAGTTTTCACTACTATGGCATCCTAACTAGTAAGTAGTAATGGAGGTGATCAAGAAGTAAGCACTAATATTAATTCTCAAGTAGTAAGCACTGATTTTATATCCCCAGTAGTAAGGAGCAGTAATAGAAATATTTTAGGACCAGCGAGAAATTAAATAATGGAAATATTTTTATTTTCGTCCKTTGGATGCCTTTTTTAACTGGTTTTAACTGTAAAAATGAGCTAAAAATTTCTATTAGTATTTGTACGGGGATTGCCAATAACTTGCCACTACGGGACTTGCCTTTAATACTTCTACTGGTATGCTTACCAGTACTACGAGTACATAATAATTAGTAGAAGTATGTTAGTTGTTTACTAGTACAATTTTTTCAGTTTACGGGTTTACGGTGCGGTGCGTGAAATGGTCGGGAGCTGAGGAGTGAACGCACGTACATCAAGGTACCTGTGTCACGGATAAATTGAGATCTGGAACTTCGTCCTGATGCCGAAGAAAATGGTGATTTCGGTCAAAACTTCACTCCTTACTTTTTGATTGTCTTCTTTCGAATGGCAGAGCACTGCAACAATATCTTTCCCTGATTCTTATTCACAATCAGACTTTCTGTCATCATCTGTCGAATAATAGAGCACCGCAGCGATATATTTTCTTGATTCCGTTTCACTGTCACAGTACTGTCGTCATCTACCTCCGGTACTTATTCTATAGGCAAGAGTGCAGCATTAAAATCATCTTGCCAAGCCAGTAAAAAAGCTTGAATGCCAAACACTTATCCATATAATGAATGCCATCGTTTGATTACAAGTTTTCTTTCATTCTCCATCAGAGAAACAACGATCGGATCGGTGACTGAGCACTATCAGCGCTAGGCTGCTCCCGCTCCAGAGGGCGTCGGGGGCCTCCCATCCGAAATGCGATCGGCACGAACCGATCAAATAAGGCTAGAATGCAATGCATTGGTTTGCGAGGCTTCATACTACGGGGAATAAGCTAACATTACTCAAGAGAGAATCACCAGTAACACGAAAGGACGAACGACGGTAATGGCGTCGACAGCGATGACGATGACGACAACGACGACGAGTTCGAACAAACCATCCCGTGAAGGCGACAAGCGTTGCCACGATCACGACGAGCACAAGATCCTGAGGAATTATCCCTATCTATGGGCTTCCGTCGGGATCTCCCATGGCGTGAGTTGAGGTGGAATCGCATGAAGTATCCGATGGCGTGCGATGATTGGAGGCCGAAGTGTTTGACAGTCGGGTCGTGTTCCTTCGTTTCGGTCCTCTCTGACGCGTGTTCTGTTTCGATTGCTCCTTGACGGGCAAACCTCTCTTGGTTCTCTTCGGTTTTCTTCTCTGTCAGTTTCTATCCGCGATCATATTTGGTTGGGCGAGCCTCGTGCCGGTCCTCCGCGACGAAGAACGGAAGGCCAGCGATTCCAACGGGAAGGATCCTTGGGGTGGGACTGGGCGCAACCTTGCTGAATCCGAGTACACGCCCTCCCAGTTGTCGCAGATTTTTGCGGCCGGCGTGGTTGGGAATTATCTCCTGACCCTGCCATTTGGCATGATCCTCGACTCCTATGGACCAAAAACGACGGGAATCTTGGCAAGCTTGGTGTACGGACTCGGTTTGTTCCTTTGCGGGATCGATGACTCGAAATTTTATCTGTTTTGGATCGGCTTTGGCTTGGTCGGTGCCGCAAGGCCGGGCATCCAGCTCCCCACTATACACCTAGCAAATCTCTTTGCTTACCATGGAAGCAGAACGAAGGGTACCGGGGGTGAGGCCCTGTACATGAGTTGTCAGGCAGCAGCGTTCGATGCCGGGACTGCTATCTTCGCCCTCTTTCACTACTGCCACTTTGGATTTGGTTGGAAGTCATCMATCATGTTTCGTTGGTATCTCTTGGTGCCTCTCTACACTTTGGTGACTGCAATCTTTGTTTGGCCCAACGAAGTTCTACAAAAGCCCGTTGATCATACCTCTCACGAGGCAGAATCGTCGTCTTCGTCCCCTCTTTCACCGACAAGCTCGTTCTCAGCGGGCGATCAGAAGCACAAATCAAATGCAAGATTACTCGGAAATAAATCACTGCAGCAGCACTCACAGGTGAACGCCCCGTTTTCAGTAGTCCTGCGCAAGTCGGCCTTCTATGCTCTAGCCACCTGGGTCGGCATTCATATTTTCCAATTAAATTTCGTGGTGGCGACAATCAACGACCAACTCGAACGGTGGCATGGTCCCAAGGGCACCGAGCGCCTCATCCAGATCTTTGGTACCATCCTGCCGTTTGGATTTCTCGTTTTGCCGATCGTGGCGCGCATTCTGCACACGGATCCCACTGTGGCGCTTCAGGTGGTGAACCTTATAGGATTGCTTTTCGGGGCCATCATGGCGTTGTTGCCAGGGAGCTACTGGCTACAGATTTTGGTTGTCTTTCCCGCGGTGGCCGTTTCGCGTCAAATGGTCTATTCGACCCTTTTTCATACTATTGGACGCGTCTTTGGCTATAAACATTACGGCGTTATCTTTGGGTTGACCAACATGGTTGCCAGTCTGTTTCAATTACTTCAAACTCCAATGGTGGAGTGGTCAGAAAATTCAGTCGTCGCCGGAGATCCTTCACATGGAAACTACGGTCCCAGCAACTTTTTGTTGTGGATTGCGACTTTTCCGCTGTTTGTTACGGCAATGTATTGTGATCCTACACGACCGGAAAGCAAATGGGTATCTTCCATGCAATCGTGTTTCAAAAAAGCTGAAAGGAATAACGACAGCAACGGAGGCGACAGGGTGCACGAAACAACATCGTTGCTGCGATAGGGAAATAGAGAACTGCTTTTCAACTCATCTCTAGTCGCGATGGAACTACTGTCATTCGACGAGAGGGGTTGAGGCCCACAAAATATGACGAGCACGCTAGGAGATACGATCGCCAATCTATTCATCTAATCTACAACTACGGGATGTTCATCCATTGCCTTAAGTGTTGCACTCAGGCCTGCAAATATGTAGACGACTTCGCTTTTGATTTTTCATACTCGCATGTTCTGTTGCTCGCTTTTGCAGAATATTTCACGAATGCAATCCTCCATGATGAACGCACTTGATAGACATGATGACATGAACAAAATCTTGAATTTTAAACAGCATGCACCGCATTGAGCAATAATAAATGAACGTGTAATGAAAGATTTTATTGATATTATGTAGCCAGGTGCAGGGTTCAAAAGCAAAAAAGAGCAAGCTCGTATTCCGTTCGTTTCCATGGTTTCGCTCGCGTGACAAGATGTACCGGTACCTTCACACATAAAGCATCCGATTCTACCATCAGCGATGATAACAAAGTAGACTGAAAACTCAATTCGACTTTCGTGAATGGGATTCGATCAAGATAGCATCATTATAGCCCATCTTTGATATCTTTCATTACTTTGATGTGATAACCATTCGCGTCGTACGTCAAATCAAACAATCTTCTTTCTTGTGGCAATGTACCATATCGTATTACTCATTGAGTTTCCTACACCGCCTTCGGTGGCAAACACCTCTCTTGGTACCGCTTTCGCCTGATTCAGGGCTTCGGTTTGGTTTCCCGCCGTTGCCAATAAACCGGCTTGTAAAATCGACCACCCGTTGGCTTCACAAAAATCTTTTCCTGCATCGTCACACGCTTCGTCGTACAACGGATAGAGCTCGGCGGCCCAGTCCGGGTCGTCACGCGTTTCTGCAACGGGTGTCAATGGAATCAATTGGATACCATATGATACAACGGCCCACGGAGCGAACCAGGTTTGGAACATTGCCATAGTATCGTACAGCATCCCAACAACCGGCTTCGTGTATTCAGCAGGATACGTATTGTTGTGTGTATCACTTGACCATACGTGCCAGTAACGATTCGTTGCACTGATTTCAGACGCCGTTAAGAGTTGCCCACTGTCTCGAATCAGTTTCGCAGTCTCCAATTTGGTGGTGATTTCCTCATCGCCGCCGTCGGTTTTGACTTCTTCGAATGCATCGACCATCGCGGACCCATATAGGGTCACACCTTCGTACGCTGAAATGGCTTCGCTCGAAGATTCTTCGTTCCGTCCATGGGGTGAATTTTCGGCGGAAATGATTCCACTCGCCCAAGATGATCCCAGAAACCAATCTTTTTGACGGTACTGGGGAAAGAATTCATCATCTCCTTTTGGATTCGCAAAATCTCGGATATAGAGCATAACCTCCTCGAAATGTTTTCGTCCCCACGCTGGATCGAATTTTGCAGCGACCGCAGCAGCATAAACGTGGTAGCCATAGTGATAGTGGTGATCATTATAGTAACCTAAATTGTTGGAGAATAAAAGAAATCGAGAGGGCACCAAATCAGCCGGAAGTGTGGATCCCAGTCTGTCCCAACCAATAATCGAATTGTAATTGCAACAAACATGGATCTGAAGAGCTATGTAGACGTACCGTTTCCAAAATCTTCGTTTACACTCAACAAAGCCGGGCACTCCGGGAAAGTATTGTTGCAGTAACCCCTGTCCATCTTCCCGACGTAAGAACACCCGCAGTTCACGAGTCCACCCCAACTCTTGTCATAAATGTAGGGTGCATCTGCATCCGATTTTAACCAGGCCTGGACGGCCGACTTGAGCTGATCTAGTGCATCCTTAAATTCCTTAGAGGATGGCAGATTAGCGCTCGCTGCCGCCTTCATGGATTCTTGCAGCATATCAATGCTCGAATCCAACTTCATGTCATATCGGCCCTGGATGTCTTCTACGGAAGATGCCGAAGCCAGGGATCTGAGTTCTGAGGCAATCGCAACGATCCGAGCCAATCGCCCTAGAATTTTTCCGCTGAAGTATGTATCGGAAGCACCCCGCATTGTATTCTTCGGAATTTCGAATTTAATGTCTTCCTTCAGATATTTAGCAATGGTCGGAATGAATTCCGCCGAGGGTGGTCGAGGTGCATCAAAGGACAGCGGAGATCCAAGATCTTCTTCCAGAGTCCAATTTGAACTACTCACCAAGCATGTTTTTCCGTGGAACGAATGGACACATTGATTTTTGACTTCTCTATCTGCCGACGACAAAGAATCCTGGTGGTGAGGCAGAGCGAACATTAGGAGATCGGCGTCATCGTTCGAAGCGTTTTTGGTGTTAGTGACATCCCAGTCGATATTAATTTTTGCAACGTCGTCGTCGTTCTTCGACTTGCTGGCGTATTCGAAATCTATGGTGGGAGATTGAGGGACCAGATGAGCGTTGTTCTTCAACAAAAGTTCGTAGCCGTCCTTGTCCGCCAAGGCGTTTCTTTCCTTGCAATGTTCTTTGATGGACGCGTGACCGGTTGTGCACTGGTTCAATAGTGCGATACGGACCACCAGATCGGTGTCTCCTGCCTCTGTGTCGTCCTCGTTGTCGAGAAAGGTCATTTTGAAGTCACGGACTTTTGGGTCTTGCTCGTTGTTTGTCACGCACGATACCTTGACCGGTTTGTTAAAAAAGACGATCCAAGTGAAATCGGAGTTGATCATGTGCAAATGGAGGTGGCTGTGGACCGTGGCTGAGATTCCTTTTTTGGAAGTGCCCTCGATTCCACACACAAGCTTCGGGAACTTGCTCGTCACTGGATCAAACGTAGAGGTGCGGTCGATTTGAACGTCACTTGCCAATCCGTTGTAGCTGTAAATCGTCGGAACCATGTTGGACGAGTCGCTATACACCATGGTCGCGTACGGCATACCTCGAACAATGTTTGTCGACATGATATTGCTGCTATTGGTATCACTTCCAGCTCCCCATTCCAATCCAACCCCAAGCGGCGACAAAGCACCGTCCTTAACCCTGTATGTTCCGTCGATACCATCGTCACCGTCCTCACTACTAAAGCCGTCGGATCCGATGCAAAGAGCGTTCTTGAAATCGTTCACCATTTGCACGTTTCCATCGGAAGCTTGAACCACCGGCCAGTGAACGCGCAGTCCCTCCATGCCCGGGTACGGCGACGCTGTGTCAATGATGTAAGGGACCGTGTAGACGCGTGTCGAATCGTCTGGTCGGAAGGCCGCTCGATGAGACACAAGATTCTATACAAATAACGAAAAAAAAAACGTGAGAGAAGAGCTCGAGGAAAAAGAGTTGCACTGATAACCGAGTGACAGATGGCTGCAACAAGCTGGGAAGTTATCCGTTCCCACCAAATCCATTCCATACAATCAATAAGCAAACATACCAGGTACCAGCTGTTTGTAGGGAGTGGTAGTCCTTTCTTCAAATGATTCCCCCAAATTGGTGAAGGCAGAGCATCGTCGGCTCGATCGATGCTCAGCATTCCCAAGTTTTCGACGGGCGACAATTGAAATGGGTCGTTCCCAGCACCGTTCGAAAGAGACCCAATACCCGAGTCGTCCTTGTTGTAGAGTTTGATGCGGGCACCTTTGCCGTGTTTCAACTGGTGGGAAGCCGGCATCGCTGTTCTCCTCCCAAGCATTAACAAAACAACACCGAGAACAGCACCGAGAATGACGAGCCTGGTTCTGGGAGAGAGGACTTTTTCACCACAAACGTTGGAGTTCTTCCCGCTGCGTGCCTCACCGGTGAAGATCGGATCACTAGGCGCCATCTCAACATCGTTGTTGGCATTGATCGAACCGTAGACGGATTCATCGCTAGACGAGGATAACGATGATTGCGATCCAAATGGCATCTTGTTGTTGGAAACGGGATTTCCTTCTTTTCTTTCGACTGTTGGTTGTATGATCTGATACTTTTATCGTCACTCTCACACAACGAACACTTTACTATGACCTGGAATTGGGTTGCACCTGGACAGCACCTTTGTTTCGATGGTTCGATTACACCTCCAAGTACGAGTATTATGAAACTGTCGCAGTAGGAATTCGGTAAGCGGTAGGAATAGTTTTCGGTTGAACAGAAGGAGACAGCCGATAGTACGTAGCAACAGAGGTTCCGTGTCGTGTTTCAGATCGGAATCCTTTTTTCATAATACAGTCAGCTCTGCTCGACACAGAGGAAATACCCAGAGGAGGGACTGTCTTAAAAAAATGATCATCATCGATACAGTACGTACGTACGTACGTACGTACGTACGATAGGATGCATGCTACGGTAATCGTGGCACAGCAGCACAGTACTGATGCTCTATTGTCCTTAGTACGTACTGTTTGTACTTGATGCTCGTAGCACTTTGTCCAAAACCCCCACATAAGTACGCATGTTTTTCGCGTAAATTCTGCTTTTTCGTGACGTGCACAAATACCATGGCATCGTACGATAAAGTACCACAGCTGTTCAAAATGCTCATTTTGGCGTTTTTCGTTCGACTTTGGCGTTAATTTAGAGTTAGGGTTAATACCAAAATTCGGTAGGAATCAAGCAATCTGATTGGCTAATTTGACAGATAAAAATATCGAAAACTGTACTGTATACTACCAAGTACTGTACTCCCCTAAGATCCAATTTTGCCGTATGAGGAATTTGTACTAGCGGTAGGAATGAGTCATTTAAATTGCCAGTAACTGCTAATGAAGCTATCCTCCTCTGCTTTTGTCTGTTGGCCTCACTATCGATGGCACCAAACGCCTCTATTATTGCTATTAGTAGCCAATCAGATTGCTTGATTTTAGTATTATCCCTAACTCTAGTAAACTAATGCCAAAGTCAAACGAAAATCTCTGGTTGAACAGCTGTKGTACTGTACTGTATGAAAACTTTATCTCTATCGTATAGCGTGTGTGGGCCAAGCAAAAAAAGACAACCCCAGTCGTACATTAGGAATGCTCAATATACATACATGTGTATCGATCAATATTTATCGGATGCTGTACTCCCCCACCGCATTCAAAAGCTCTTTGAATTCTCTTTTTAACCATGTGCCTATCATACCTAAGCATCTGTTGGGGAAAAGTTATGGCTGTTCGAGTGAGTTGAACCTCTCTTAATGCCCTACATGTTTTTTGTACTATGCTGCGTGGATAACCGCCGGCCATCTAATTACCGTGTAATGACTCATGGGATAAAAATTTGACTTGTACCAGGGCTACAGCACCACCATCATGTTTCCTTTGGTGAAAACAGCTACCACCGCTATGATTGCCATCAGGAAGATCATGGTACCTGGGACCCTCTACTGTTGGAATCTCATTCTAGTAGTAGTTTGGCTAGTACAAGGATTCCTAGACAACAATACTCTGTGGGAGTGACTGTCCTAAAAGAGATGTAAAGTGTGTGCTAGTAGAAAAGTGAGTCGATGCTCTTATCGAG